AAGCTCAACAAATCTTGGGTATTGACTTCTCTAAAAACAGTTAAGCTAACATAGCCCAATTAATTAGGTACTATGCTGATAAGGTATTTGAAATCATCCTGTAGGTAATGTAACTATATGAAGGCTTTCTCTTTTTTGTTATCTTAAATAAGATTTTTTTTAAAGCCTTATATGAAAGCACTGGTAAGAAAAGAAGACCAGTGTATATAAAAAGGTTTCCCTCATAACATAATCTGTAATTAGCCTGATGATTGGTCTTTGCAGCTTGCAACCAAAAGCAAATTAATAACATAATTTGATAATTCTGTAGTGCTTAGCATTTTAGAAAGATTAACTTCCCTGAAAAATCAGGGATTTTTAACATTTTCAGAAGTGCACCAATTTCTTTCAAGCCATTAGGTTAGTATCACGCTGAATTATATTAAATATATTTGGGTGACCTAAATGAGCTAAAGTCTCCAAAAATACTAAGTGGAACCTTGGTAACTTGGGAGACACTCAGGGCACAAATTCAGTAACTTCTGGGTGAATAGGAAGCTATTACCTCATTCGTTTCTGTGATAAAAGCAGAGGCAGGGGGATCCCTGGGTGGCTTAGCGGTTTGGAGCCTGCCTTTGGCTGAGGGCGTGATCCTAAAGTCCCGGGATCAAGTCCCATATCAGGCTCCCTGCATGGAGCCTGCTTCTCCCTCTGCCTGTGTCTCTGCCTCTCTCTCTCTCTCTGTCTCTCATAAATAAATAAATAAAATCTTAAAAAAAAAAAAAAAAGCAGAGGCAGGTGCAACCCTTGAAAGGAGAGATCCAGGTTGATACAGCTTCACTCCTGAGTGTACACCCCTGCCTGGAAAAGGCAGGTAGAACTCAGGCAGAAAGCCTGAGTCCTACTGACCGAAGGAGTCAGAGAAGGAAGCCTGGGTTGTCAGAGTGGTTAGACATCGAGATGGGCAACCCCAAAATGTGAGTGTAAAACACCCTCACATCTTAGGCTGCAAGCAGGCAAGAACTCCAGTGATTCCAAAACAAGCGAACTGCTCAAGAGCTCCAAGGTCAGGCCCTGCCAGGAGAATGATGTGGCTAACACTCCAGGCTTTGCTGTGCCCTGTGGCTTGTGACCCTGCTACACTGGCCACAGCGGATGGTACCAGGGACCTATGCCGTAGTTAAGGGCAGCCATCCTTTGGGTAGATGTAAGGGAGGCCAAAATAATCCACTGGAATAATCTCTGTCCAATCAGGAAGATCTCTTTTGGTTTATTCAGATCCTCTTTCAGAGGATGCCTGCGTGGCTCAGCAGTTGAATGTCTGCCTTTGGCTCAGGGCGTGATCCCAGAGTCAAGGGACTGAGTCCCACACTGGGCTCCCCTCAGGGACCCTGCTTCTCCCTCTGTCTGTGTCTCTGCCTCTCTCTCCGTGTCTCTCATGAATAAATAAATCTTGAAAAAAACAAAAGATCCTCTTTCAGGAGCAATAAAAGTAGCAGACAGAGAAATGCACAGAGAGAAGCTGGAAAACACACGAATAAGAGTATGCATTTTGTGACTACATAGCAATGGACATCCATTTCAAAGATGAGAACACAACCCAGCCATCTGAGCTGCTGTGTTCACTTAATGACAAAGAGCCATTTTTTCAGCTCTCCGGGAAGCTGTGCCTCTGAGGAGATGGCTGCCTTACTGTCCCCCGTATTCTGAAAATAAGCCTCCAGGTTCTAAGATAACATGAATGTGCCTTTGTTCCTTGCAACCACAAGGAGCCTGTCCAAATTTATCTTAAAAAAAAAAAATCCAGATCTGCAATATACAACACATTAAACCAAATAATTCAGGCATAAAAATACTACATTACTACATGAGAAGGGGTACACCATCTGAGGTTTTGGCATCTACTTTACTATAGGGAATTTTTTTAATGTGCAATGGAAATCCTTACATAGTTGTTCAGAAGATAAATGAAAATGTGAATAGTTAAGCACCACAGAGTCTTCTCAATGCCATTTAAAAAGCAAGCATTCTTTGAACGGTAATTGAACTCAAGAATCAAGGGGAAGTTAGGAAGGCATTAGCAACTTCTGCTTATTTTCCCAGGCTCTTTACATGAAAGCAAAAGTAAATTTCAGTTCATAAAGATATCTCAATTAAAGGTTATTTTATCTCTCTATATATTTGTGAATCTTTTTGCCATAACCAAAATAGGTTAAGAGGAGGATATATATTGTGCCTAATTCAACTTGAAAAAAGGAAACCAGGAGCTCCTTAAGCTGTCAGTTGAGGTAGGAGAGCTCTGTCTCATGTCAATCTAAAAATCTGTGTAAACACATAAGCCTCTGATTATTGTCTTAAGAAAATCACATCAAAAGTCACACTAAGCTAAAGCACCTAGGTGGCTCAGTTGGTTAAGCGACTGCCTTTGGCTCAGTCATGATCCTGGGGACCTGGGATGGAGCCCAGCAGCAGGGCAGGCTCTCGGCTCATCAGGAATCGGCTTCTCCCTCTCCCTTTGGCTCATGCTCTCTCAAATAAATAAAAATCTTTAAAAAAAAAAAAATCACACTAAGCACTAATAATCACTCTGGTTTCCTTGGCATCCAAGTATTTTTTAAAAGCTTACACTTTCCAGAGGTTATTATTCTGAAGCTTAGAATTTCATTATCTTTGCATTTTCAAAGCACTATGCAATTCTAAGTATTTGTGACAAGTCTGTGAGACAGTTCTGTATTATCTTGAATTTACAACTGAGAAAAGGATTTAGACAAAAAGGAATTTTTTAAGGATACACAATGAATCAGTGGCAGAACTAGGATACAAATATTTGACTTTCTAGTCTTCTAGGTCAGGAAAATTACAGGTATTCAGATCATCTACATAAATGTATTTTTAATGCATTTTCCTATTACACCACTGTTCTGGAAATCTCTGTAAGAAGACAAAGTCTTTGCGTGAAAGTTGGTTCATTATCTCTCCTTTGGCAGTAGAAAATAGCCTGCAGATGGTATAACTGTGTCTGTTTCAGGGAACAAGCACTTTAATTGGGTATTAAAGAGATTGGGGATGTTTCCCCACAATAAATATATCCACTCACAGGAAACCTTTGAGGCATTACGAAGGGGTTATAAACCCAAATGGGATTGTAGGTGTACTTACAACATAAACTCAAAAGAGTACCAGAAAAGAAAACAAACACACTGTAGTTTCTCATAGCAAACTGCACATTTCCAGGGTAGTTTTCTTCTGAAGACATAAATTACAATACTTCATTTCCAAAGTGAAAAATATTTCCCTAATCAGTATCTGTACAGCCTCCATTTCCTTTATGGTTCTGCTGCTTTCATTCATGGTTTTAGATACTCCCAAGTAAACCTGGTACATAACAGTAAAACTACTAGATTCCAAGTTTCTACTTTGAACAGTACTATATTAAGATTTCTGAAAGTGGAATGGTTTTAAAATACAGCTTGTGGCTATAAATACTACCACACAACTCGTCTTCCTCGGAAAACATTAATTTAGTAATAAATATTAAAATCATGTATTTATAACTCACAGCAATTGTTTTATTATAATCAGGGTGACAATACAAATAATTTAATAGGTAGCTAGTATTATGACACCATATTTTAATTCTGAAAGCATACTGTTAAACATGAAATGTTAAACATTTTCTACTTAAATTCTATTTTAAGGGACGCCTGGGCAGCTCAGTGGTTGAGCGTCTGCCTTTGGCTCAGGTCATGGTCCCAGGATCAAGTCCCACATGGGGGGCTCCCTGCATGGAGCCTGCTTCTCCCTCTGCCTGTGCCTCTGCCTTTCTCTCTGTATCTCTCATGAATAAATAAAATCTTTTTAAAAAATTCTATTTTAAAATTTGATTTCATATTTAAAGCAAATCTATCAAGTGATTCACACCCTATCTTCATAATATATTCATGAAAAACTTGCTATCAGCTAAAGCATATACTGTGTCAGATGTAGCCATGTAATAATTCACAACTGCTTAGTACAATTTTGTTACTCTTAACTGTCTACATTTTCTGCTGTTAAGATTCAGGCTATGTTCAACTGGCAAAAATTACAAAGATTGATAACAAGTGTAATGGAGATGTGGAGAGACCTCGTAAATACTGTTAGTGGGAATGTAAATTGGCAGTCTTTTTGGAGCTTGCTTTGGCAATAATTAACAAAATTCTATATACATTTATATGTATATATACATACACACACATAGTCCGACATGCAAATTCATGTATAGCTTTACCCAACAGAAATATCAACCTAAGTGAACCAAAATATACACCCAATGATCAACACAGCAGTGTTCGAAATAGTGAAAAATGAAATGAACCTGTGCAGAGAAGAGGCACCAAAGTAGGCCTGAGATTGCAGTCCTTAGAAGGGCCTTCCTGCAAGGTTGGCCATTGGCTGACATTTGTGAATTTGGCTGGTGAACGGTTGCCTACGCTGAAATAAAGCTCCCCCTGAAGACCCAAACCTGTATATGAAGCCATCATGGAACTGACGTACTTTACAACCCAGAGCACCACTCTGCACTGAGACTCTACTAGTTTTCACCTTTTCTTATTGCTTAGGCCACTTCAAAATAGGGTTTTACTGCTTGCAGTCAGAAGTATTCCTTTGGATTTCCATTTCTGTTGGCTTATATAAAATGACACTGAAATTATAGGCAAGAGCCCTATATTTGTATCCCAGATGCATCACTTACTAACTCTGTGAATGCAGGCAAGGCACTTACCATCTTAAGATAGAATTTCTTCATTGTACAAGTGAAATGGTACTTTGTCTTTTGTTTAAGTACTATTATGAAAAAACAGAAGGCAACTCACTGTGTTAGCTGTAAAATGTTTGTAAATGTTAATGATCAGACAAGTTCTAGCCAATAACCTCGTACACAAGAGGCCAATCCCACTACCAGAGACATCTGAAATCAGGGGAAATAATTTTGTTTAGTAATTAATGTGATAGCACAGATTCTAATAAATGAAAGTTCATTTGGGGTAGCATTAGTATTTTTATTTTAAAGGATTATAGATACCACACATTTTCACTCACAGGACATTTGCCAAATTCCTGAATATACAATGCTGGAAAACAACATGGAGTATAATCAACTGTAGGACAGGCTGAGCCAACCACATGATATGGAGGTTGGCTGCTATTAGGAACAATTCAAACATCACTTAAGTGATTTCCATATGTCTTAAATGAGAAATTAACAGAGGCACGTCCACAAAGCTACAGAAATTTTTTTCTGTACCATCTATTCTGTACCATAGACACATTCTGGAATTTACACTACCAATCTTTAAGGTTTTATTAGAAATTATTAGTATTTAGGGGTACCTGGCTAGCTCGGTTGGTTACCTGGCCAACTCTTGATTTCAGCTCAGGTCATGATCTCAGGGTCATGGGATTGAGCCCTGCATGGGGCTTTCCTGCTTGGCAGAGAGTCTCTTCCTCCCTCAGCCACTGCACATGCGTGCACATGTACACATGTGCTCTCTCTAAAAATAAATAAATCTTTAAAAAATTTTTTTAAAGAAATAATATTTAAATGTACTTTATCTTAAAGAAATAATTAGTATTTAAATGTTGTACTTTAAAAATGTACTGAACTAATCATATATGTATATGTATGGACACATGCATACATATATCTATATATAAATACGTAAATGTTAGGCCAAAGGGAGCTTTAAAACAAGCACCAAAGAATACTTATTGATTGCAGAAGTAGAAACTGGGCTTCCTAAATATTAATCATGCTATTAACCACATGTTCAAAAATAGAGCAAATAAAGCAAAAATTATATTGCACTTAACCATACAATATATAAAATGGCTAATATACAACAAACAAATCCATGATCAGACTGTAAACGTAATTAGACACTTGCATGTCATAAACATTACTACCTTAAGAATATATACTTTAAATAGTATTATCAAAACTGTTCTAAGTATCACATCACAAAAAGTTACAGGAAATGGCAATAACCTGCAAATAACAGGATTATTTCTATTACATTCTAAATCCAAATTTTATTTCCATTTATGCACATAAAAGGAAATGTTAAAACTAAATCCTGAAGTAAATTCCTCTTTCTGATTTTTTGTTTCTTTATAAATCTAGAACTATGTTACAGTATTGCCATTTCAAAGAAATAACCTACAGTTTCCAAGAAGAATTATTTTTAATACCAGCAGTCTTCCTGTTCAATATACAAAATATAAATCTCTTCTTCTGTCAGAAAGGTCAACATTAAGAATTCTATACCAGGTTCTTTGTTCTGTATTTTCTTTTCCTCTTGGGTGCAGTGAACTCTAAAGACATAAAATTAAGAGTCTGTCAGTTCTAAAAAATAACTGGTAACATACATTTAAACTACAGAGCTCGGGAATCCCTGGGTGGCTCAGCAGTTTAGCGCCTGCCTTTGGCCCAGGGCGTGATCCTGGAGTCCCGGGATCAAGTCCCACGTCAGGCTCCCTGCATGGAGCCTGCTTCTCCCTCTGCCTGTGTCTCTGCCTCTCTCTCTCTGTGTGTCTTTCATGAATAAATAATAAATAAAACCTTTAAAAAAAAGTAAACTACAGAGCTGTTTAATTGGAATGTTCTCACAACAAAATTCCAACAAGAAATCCTAAACCTAAAAAAAAAAAAAAAAAGAAATCCTAAACCTAACATATACATTCTTTTCTTCAAAATGATACTGCAGTTGAAAACTTACTACTTACTACAGTAGATCCTATTCTTTCTTCCTAAGTCCTATTTAATAATAAGCTACTCTGAAGTGGTTTCATATGGATATACTCTTCCTACAGCTAGCATAGACCCAGTGTGCCAAATCGGAAGGTATACAGACTAATGCAATGAGAGTGATTAAGATTTGAATTTCATTTCAGTTAAACCTGAAAACGTAACCCAAACCACTAGTACCATACATCTTTTTGGCTATGACAATGGATGCCATAACCAACAACCAACATCCAAATATGTGTTTATCTAGAAACAGTTGTGAACTTAAAAATTACAAATCATTCAAAACAAAAAAATAGTAATACAACATGAAAATTATGAAAGATGTAAAGAAATAAAATATTCCCCATCAAAGAAAAACAAAAGAGGAGTGATAGGAAAAGGAACAAGAAAAGACAAGAAAAAGGAAAAACAAGTAAGAAGAAAAAGAGATTCCAGGAATCTTCTAGATCCCTAGAAGACAGCAGTGACCAGGATGGAGTGGAGCAGGCCAAGAGAGCAAACCATCCAGTAAAGCAGGTCAGAGGTCAGCCAGAGACTCTTTTAAAAGACGAAAATGACAAAATTCCTCTTGTATTTGAATATCCCAATAGGAGATTTACTCAATCGAGGAAGAGTTTGAGGATAAATTAGTGTTAAGTCTACAGAAAAAATAAATTAGTAAGGCAAAAAGTTATCAGTCTCTAGGGAAAACAAATGTACACATTAAGGAAAAATCATAGTAGATTACAGGGCTCTGTTGTCAATAATGTTTTGTAAATGCAGAATACTAATATAACTAAAATAATTATACTGGAAGGCCGGGGCCTGAGAAGTACACATGTGTCTCAAGTGGGAGGTGAAGAATGTATTAAAGAGAACTACACCCTTGCCTTCCTCACTGTAAAGTCAAGAGATAATCCACAGAACTAAAACATAAAGAAGTGACAAAATACATGGTTTTTTTGAGACACAGAGGTAAATACCAAAATAATAGTCAAAGTGATTAAGAAAGAAATGGAAGCCAGAGTCAGAAGACTGTGATTTCCTATAATGAATATTATTAAATTATTTGAATTCAATCATGTGCATTAATTAAATTATAATTTAACCAAATTTTTAAAAATCACAAACTGACAGACTTTAAATGGGACTTGCAAAGAGCCTTAAAGGTTTGTATATATAGTTTAACTGCTCACAAGAAAAGCCACCAATCAAGACTGGAAAGAAACTACAATCTGAAACTCATCATAAGACTGTAAGGAGTATCTTAATACTAACAAACAAATCACAGAGGCACTCACATTTCTAAAGGAACAAATACTCCCTTGTAAGTATCTATTCTTTTTTTTATATACTTCTATTCTTTTTCTATATACTTCTGTAACACCCTGCTTCTCCCTACCATAATGAACTGGGTTGGTTTTTCTCCCTAACTAAACTCTAAGGTCCTTGAAGGGACAGACTGATCTGATTCATTCAACAAATATATACATAAGTCCCTATGGGCCAGTCACTGTGCTCAGATCCATAACTGTGATCAAAATAAAATGATTCTAAAATTCCAGTAGTATATATCTTTTTTTTTTCCAGTAGTATATATCTTTACAGCCCTGTACATAGCTAAGTGTTTGAAACACAATAGGCACTCAGTAAATGCCTGCCTAAATAAATATAAACCAAAATGAAAAAAAGTCATTAGGCATTATTCTTAACACGTATTCATTATCATTGATGGATTACCAATTATCAAGCCTAGCCTGCTAAATATAACTTATTCTCTGTAATACTCTAATTATTACTAGAGACAATATTAATTAAGCTTGTTTAATAAACACTACAAATTATGAAAACTATAACACTAACAGATATAGTCATTTTAATTTACATCATGCAATTTACAACTATTTAGTTACAATACAATACAATCATTCCATAGGTGAAAATTTTATATTCAAATTTGAAATAACTATTTTTTAAATAACTGTTTTTTTTAACAATAAAATCTTCTTAAAGTTATATCCAGAAATTTGTATTTTGTGAACCCTTTGTTAGGAACACATTCCAGACATCCTCAGGATGAGGTATGTTCACGTACTAATAATGGTATTTTATCTAGCCTTCCCTTCTCACCTCAACTGACCACTACTTCTCCTTTCCATTTACTTATTGTATTAACAGTTACTTTTACATGTCATGTTGAATACTAAAATTCTCCAATGTGTCAAAGAAAAAAGCATCACGAGAACACACAGCCAACCATCATGCTCTTCAAGAGTTCTAAACCTCACTCTACAAGCATAACTTTCCATTAGTAGTTTGACAAAATTTCATCTGTACCTGGTTCACTAAAACTTTCATTGTCCTCTTCCTCTTCTGTAATTACAGGCATACTCAGCCTCAATGATTTATCTTCTTTATGTACATTCTGCATGTCATCTGGAAATAGTTGGGAAAATGAGTTCATATAAAAACAAAAAGATTAATCTTGAAAAATGTTTACACAAATAATGGCATTATTGCAAGAACATAAAAATTAAACTAAAAGCTAAAATTAAAACGGTAAAGAGCAATATGCATTTTAAAATAAATATCTATTTTTAAGTATTATTATATTTGTACCTATGCTTTGAAAAAAAAAATCTAATTCTTCCATTAAAGAAAATGGAGGAAAAGAGAAAAAATGAAATTATCCAAACATGAATATTTTACTCAAGCTTTATCACACACGTCATGGGTTGTATCTGCAGACAACAGAGAATAATCATGTGTCTTAATTCACCTTAATTAATTAATCACAAATGTAATTTTAAAGGTAATAGCCTTGTTTTTGAATGTGTACTTTCTTTTCTCACTACATGTGCTCCACAAGATAGATTTCTCTAGTCATAATTTGCCACTGACTTACCATTTTCCAAAGTATTTTTCTACATCAACCTTCTGGTGCCCGAAGAAATATCCTAACCAAATTGATCAAATACAATTGTCTTATCAGGTCTCATTTAGCACATAACTTTCAGGTCTCAACAGTAACGCCTACATATATTTTCATTCCTCATGCTGCCTTATTCTTCTCCACAATATTTTTACCACCTGATCTATTATTACATGTTAATTTTGTTTCTCTATGGTCTCCCTCTTCCCACTAGAATATAAATTTCACAAAGACAGACTTTGGTTTAAGTCAATGTATCCCTAACACTTAGAAAAGTGCCTGGCATACAGTAGAGCCTGAATAAATATTTATTAAATGATTAAATATGGGTTCAACGATTTTATACCACAGTATTTCATTTAGCACACGTTAATACATCCCTGTCAGCACAGTAGGCAAGAAATTAAATGAAAATAAGTTTAAAATTTTCTGCTCTGAACACATACACGATGAGATTCTTAATGGAGTATGGAGTTTATGGAATAAATACAGATTGCTCTAAGGTGGAGTTGAATAAATTGTAGCAATAAGCTTCCACGTAAACATAATTCAAACTTAAAATAATACTAGTTTCCCATTAAATCATTAAAGTAGAATTTTACCTTTACTTGCAAATCATAAATACTAACCTACAATAACTTACATGATTTTTAAGATGATCAATAATGTTTTAGGAAATCTCTTTCTACATCTAATTATATTTTTTTAATACTTGAACCTATTTTTTAATACTTGAACCTGTAAAGTTTTTCAGTTCACAAAATTAGTACAATCTACCCAAGTTAACTTCTGGCCATGTCCATCCATACCCATTATTAATGATTTTTCCCTAACTCCACATTTACAACCTCATAGAATCTATCCAACCACATCACAAGGTAAGGATTTTTGAGTTAACACGGAGAGTTGAGAAACAAGCCTTATTTAGTCACATGATGATTAATCACATTTTAAGAGATGGATTTCTATATTGTTTAAAAAAATAAAAATCAGGGCAGCCCGGGTGGCTCAGTGGTTTAGCGCCGCCTTCAGCCCAGGGCCTGATCCTGGGGACACAGGATCGAGTCCCACGTCGGGCTCCCTGCATGTAGCCTGCTTCTCCCTCTGCCTGTGTCTCCGCCTCTCTCTCTCTGTCTCTCATGAATAAAATCTTTAAAAATAATAATAAATAAATAAAAATAAAATAAAAATCAGTGTTTTCTAAGAGCTCTTAAAAACAAATACAGTGCTTCACCCATCTATTTTGCAGCCAGAAACCAAGCAAACACACAAAACTTCAGATGTTTATCTCAAAGTCCACATATTAAATAAGGTTCATGAACTTTAGTTACCAGTATGTTCAAGCCTTTATCTAGAACCTGATTACATTTATTTTACATAAGTGAAATGAAGGGCCAACCAGTTTCTGAAACCATTACAGTTAAGGTGCAAAAGGACCAAAAAAATTGCTATAAGCTACAACAAGAACAGAAAGAAGACACCTACCATGATAAACGTAACAGAAAAAACTTTTTAAAAAGTAAAACCTAAAAACTGACAAAGTACTGCAGCATGAAGCCATAAGTATACACTTCTCCACACAAGATATTTCTTGATACGATCATTGCATTATAAAACCCAGTAACATAATATGCTTATGATGATAACCCTGATTCATAAAGAGAAAATTAAATTATGTTTAGGATACACTGTTCTAGAAAATAGGAGAAAATAAAATACATTTAAACCTTTTTCTAATTATAAAAATGATAAATACACATGGTAGAAAACAAGTAATATACAGAGAAGAATGTTTTAGAGAGATATTAACCAGAATAATTAAACTTCTAAAAAGTAAATTTTGACATTTAAATTATTAACCTAAATTATTACAAAACTAACTCCCTAGAGGGTTTCAGGCACTTAGTTTTACTATGCTCAAAGCTAACAGAGTAGGATACAATTATAACTAATAGACTATTGCTCAATCTCTAGTAACAAATGATTACTAGACATGCAGCCGGAATACAATATACTAATTGCATGTCTAATTTGAGCTCCAGACTCACATTTCCAGTTACCTGAGGGACAGCAAGTATAGCAGTTAAAGATTCAGGCATGGATTCAGACACACTGCTATTTGAGTCTCAGCTCCATTTATTAGCTAGGTAACCTTGAACATGTAAAAAAAAAGCATGGCAGATATTAAGTGTGACAGAAATAACAGCTGCTACCCTCTTCACCATCATATCAACATTACTATTACTGATGTACTTCCAGAAATGTGTATAATCTAGGAATGAGGAACACATACAGCTGAAGCTTAAATAATACAGACCTAGGTTAAAAAAACAAAACAAAACAAACTTAAGTAAATCCAATCAATACACTGAGCACTTATTTATGTGCCAGACAACAATTATAGGAATTGGACCTGGAAAGGCAAACTTGGGCAAATTCTAACCCAAATGAAATCTTCATCCTGTGATCCTTATTTCTGTCAAAGGCACCAACATTCCCCTCAGTTGCTTAGGCATTAAAAGCATCCTTATATCCTGTCCCTCTCCACCAGCCTCTATATTTGGTTACATACAACTACATTGCATCTACATTTGGTAATATACATTGGCTCTCATATCTGTCACTCTTCTTTGTCAATTCCTACAACCACCTAGGCCAGATACTCATTACTCCTAAACAGCCTTTTACTTAGTGTTCCTGTTTTCAGTTTATCCCCATCTACCTAACCACACTACTCCCGACTGATTTTTTTCTAAGAAAACTGATCATACCACTTTCTTGCTCAGAATTCTCAATGACTCCCCTCTGCCTACCAAAATTTAATGGCTCCACATTTCAGAGCTTGTCGAAATACAATCCTCGACATATTTTTCTACATTAACAGTAGCTCCTCAACACATCCTTTATACTCTCAAGCAGAAGGGAATCACTATACTACCAACTACCCTGCTTTTTTCATGCCAATCCCTCTATTTGTCTAAAGTCTGTGAAAGTATTTTTAATTATATTAAAATAAAAAAACTCTGGATTTTTTTCCTGATTTCTAAAGTAACATACAGTTATCACAAAAAATTTACAACATTATAGAAATTCATGGGCTTGGAAATTTCTCATGATCCCATCCCTAAGAATTAACCACTATTAATATGCTTCTAGATTTCTTTAATGATAAACATTATGTTTATGTCTACATATGTATTTCTTAAAAGATTTTATGCATGTATGTATTTGAGAGTATGTGTGTGCAAGCAGGGGGGAGGGACAGGACAGAGTGGGAGGGAGAGGGACAAGTAGACTCCTTGTTGAGCTCAGAGAGCCCAACAGGGGACTGGATCCCATGACCCTGATATCATGACCCAAGACAAAACCAAGAGTTGGACACTCAACCAACTGAGCCACCCAGACACCCCTTAAGATATTTTTATGAACAGAAATGCAATCTAAGTAATACACTAAGTAATACATTGGTATATTTTGGATCTATTTTCATGTCACTATATATAGAACTTTCTCTAGCTTTTTAATAACTGCAAAATACCCATTTGTATGGGCTGACAATTTTATGTACCCAATTTTTCAATGTTATATATTTGACTTGTTTAGTCTTTGCCATTTCAAACAATCCTGCAATAAATATCTTGTGTGTTTTTGTTACTTGTAAAGGATAAATTCCTCAAAATTGAATTGCTATATTAAAAGGCACGTACCTTTAAAATTTTGACAGATGATTCCAAATTGCTGTCTAAAAAGGATGTGCCAATTTATACTCCCACTTAAATTCAGATTTTACCTCTTTACACTCTATCAGTGGGTATTCACTTATCCTAAATCTTTGCCAAGCTAATAAATTATATAAAAATCATGTTTAATTTACATTCCTTTAACTTTTGAGATTAAAAATCTCTTCATATGCATGTTGACTGCACTTTGTGAATTGCCTGCCAAGGAGTTTTTACACTGGGTGGTGGCCTTTTTTTCTTACTAATCTATAAGAGCTTCCCTAAAATTAGAAATGTTAACATTATTATATGTGCTGCAAACAGTTTTGAAGCTATTTTGCACTGTATGAGTATAAAGTACCTCTGCTTTACAATAGCAGAGTTGAGTAATTTTGACAGAAATCATATGGCCCATGAAGCCTAAAATATTTACCCTCTGGCTATCTACAATAGGTTTGCTGACCCCCTAATCTAAAGGATTCTTTTTTTAATTAAGAACGGATGCTAGATTTTATCAAATGTCTTCTTGGGTAACTATTAAAATGAATTCACATTTTCCCCTTTAGCTTATTTGTATGGCAACTTATATTCTTATATTGATAAATTCCTAATTGTACCATCCCTGCATCCTGGAACAAAATGCATTCATCAAATTGTTTTATATCTGGGATTCTTTCAAAATATATAACAAAATATATAACACAAGTTTTTTTCAGTAATACTTATGTGAGATTGGCCTAACAGTTTTCTTCCCAATATCTGCTAATCTTGTAAAAAGAACTAAAAGGGCAGCCCCGGTGCCCCAGCGGTTTGCCACTGCCTTTGGCCAGGGTGTGATCCTAGAGACCTGGGATCGAGTCCCGCATCGGACTCCCTGCATGGAGCCTGCTTCTCTCCCTCTCCCTCTGCCTGTGTCTCTGCCTCTCTCTGTGTCTATCATGAATAAATAAATAAAATCTTAAAAAAAAAAAAAAACTAAGAAATTCTGCTTTTGAAGTATTTCCTGATTGTCCTTAACAAATATGGTATCTCCTTTGAATTTTCAGTATACTTCAAGCAACTCTTACCGAACTTCATCATATCTGGACTATGTTAAAGGTATTTAACTTTAATTCTCCTTCCACTGCCTCAATATAGGAAAGAAAACATTGTTAAAAAGCCATAATATATCTTTATATACTACTGTAGTAGCTGGGAGTATGTTTTGCATCAAGCATTAAATTTTTCCTAATGTTTCCGATGTTTTTTACTCCTGACCCTGCTAATTAGATTCCAACTTTATGTCTGGTGAATGTATATTACTTGTGTAATTTGTTAAAAATTAAACTATTGAAATATATAGTCATTTCTTTAAGAATCAAATACCAAGGTTAATTTTATAAACACTATTTTAAAAGAAAAGGTACAGCTTAATTAATACAGCTAAAGGGTAATATAGTTTATATAGAGTATACAGTTAATAGAATGTATTACTTATACCTAATTCTACACATAAGTTTAATCCACACATAAAAAGTACTAATAAAGTATGCCCTGGATAATTCTAGAATGATTCTACAACTAGCTATTTCATTTTTAGACAACTTAGTTAATTTATGTGGACCTAAATTTCATCATCTTTGAAATGATGAATCTGTCAACTCCTGGGGTCCCTTAAAGCAGTTTCTAAGAATCTAAGAAAATTTATTTTTTATGTTAAATTTCACAAAGTTCTCAAACAAGTACCTAACCCCTTTTAATAAAGAAAAATCGGTGAGAAGAGGTTGTAAACAAGATGCATTATCCCTCATGCAGTCTCAAAAAGACTAAAAAGTTACCTCTGTTTCTGGAAGGCATCTTCCTTCCTTCTGATTTCAATGTTTCTTTGTTTCTTTTTTTCCTAGTTGCTTTGATTTGTCCTTGACCAGATGCGGAATCAGAGTCAGAAGAGTCAAGTTTGACTTGACGATGCCTTCTTGACTTGGATGCCTTAAGAGTTAGAAATCCAATTAACCACAATGAATCACAAAATGAATCCAACTGACCAATTTAGGAAAAGGCAAAATATACAAAGAGGAGGAAAAATAAGTCATAAAGTACTTTATCATTATACTGGCTTAATACCTGGTGCATAAATATACTCTTTTATCTTTACAACAGGAAAGGCTCCCTGCAGCTGTCATCATCCACTCAAACTGGGTAAAAAATATGGTTGTTGGGTTAAAACGTAGTTGTAGTTGTATGGTTGGGAAACAGGTGTAAAGGATGAGTATGGTTTCTTACTGCCTAATATCCTATCCTCCCTTTCTTCTAATAACATTTATGTTCCTAGTTACCACCATGTGTTGTGAGTGGAACTACTTTATGCCTGGCTCCAGGTATATGCCACTGATCTAGTCAGAAGTTTCACATCACCACAGCCACTGATTTGTTCAGGAGTGGGCATGTGAGCTCTATCACAGCTCGATTTTATTTTATTTTATTTTATTTTATTTTATTTTATTTTATTTTATTTTATTTTATTTATTTAATTACTTACTTACTTACTTATGCTAGTCACACAGACAGAGAGAGAGAGAGGCAGAGACAGGCAGAGGGAGAAGCAGGCTCCATGCACCGGGAGCCCGACGTGGGATTCGATCCCGGGTCCCCAGGATCGGGCCCTGGGCCAAAGGCAGGCGCCAAACCGCTGTGCCACCCAGGGATCCCTCACAGCTCGATTTTAGAATTCTGTCTAGCTATTAGGAAGGAAAATTCTTCCTCTCTAAAAACCTAGAGCTGGGAACGTACAAAGCTGGCTGTCAGACACAACACATGAAGAGAGTGAAAGCAACATAAGAGCTAGAAATGGAGGGACAGCACAAGGACATTTCAGTTTTATCAATGAATTCCATTATTTGCTTAAGCAGAGTCCTTATAGGAGTTTTCAGCTAATGTGACATACACAGTCCAGGTATTAACAGACATTTAAAATTATCACTCATTATGTTAATTGTACCTCAATAAAGAAAAAACCTGCAGCTATGCTATGACACACTCTTATAACACTTTGTGGGAATTACAATTTAATTCTTAATAACTTTTATGAAGTATTATATATCTTAAAATACACATTAAACATTAATTAGTACTATATACCATGGAATAGTTCTGGTTTAAAACAATTTGGATTAATTAACTTACTATCCTTAGGGCTTTCTTTTTTTTTTTTAATTTTTTTTAAATTTTTATTTATTTATGATAGTCACAGAGAGAGAGAGAGAGAGAGGCAGAGACACAGGCAGAGGGAGAAGCAGGCTCCATGCACCGGGAGCCCGATGTGGGATTTGATCCCGGGTCTCCAGGATCGCGCCCTGGGCCAAAGGCAGGCGCCAAACCACTGCGCCACCCCGGGATCCCTCCTTAGGGCTTTCATTCAATATTTTGTACTCAATTTACTGTGGATGGCAAATATGTAATACTTAACTATAATCATTTTTAATTTTTTTATTTATTCCTTCTCATTTCTACAACTAGAAAATGATAGTAATTTCCACAGGATAAAGACACTCTTATACTCATGAAAATAATCCAAAAAAAAATATGGGATTAAATACATAAATTTATCAGTGCTTCCTCCTGAAATCCCACTAAAATGAGTGTAAGAAAATAAAAATGAATAAACTCACAATAGAAAACACAGCTGCTAAAAAAAATTTAGTAGTAGGAACAGTGAACGATAGCTGATGTAACAGAATCAAGAACTCTAAAATCTAATTGCCTGTACCGAGAAAGTTACCATAAGGCAAGCTAATCCAAGTGGATCAGAAATGAGAGTCATCAGAAATGGGTCTAAAAAATGAGAGATATGCTGAAAATCTACAAAATCAATAGTGTCCCATTTCCCAAAGTCAACTGACCTCCTATAGAAAACTGGAGGCTTGGGGTAGCCCTGGTGGCGCAGCGGTTTAGCGCTGCCTGCAGCCCAGGGCGTGATCCTGGAGACCTGGGATCGAGTCCCACGTCAGGCTCTCTGCATGGGGCCTGCTTCTCCCTCTGCCTATGTCTCTGACTCTCTCTGTGTCTCTATGAATAAATAAATTTAAAAAAAAAAAGAAAAGAAAACTGGAGGGCTTGCTCTCTGGAGAGGCTAACCCAGAGAAGGTGCCAGCCTTTACTGATAATAGGGAAGTTAAGTGAAACCTGCATGAGGAATGGTATACCTCTTGATTTTCTCTGTAGGCTCCCAAAATATTGGTAGCTGGGCTTACTTACCCTTCCCTCCTCCCGACAAGGGAATGGAAGGTTGCTGTCTGGTAAAAATGACAAGATCCAACAAAAAGAAATACTGATGTTAAAAAGTCTTATCTCCACATGCCCACTCTTAAATATGATCTGAGGCTCTTCAAACATTTTAAAAATGCCACCAAAATGAAAGAGATCAAAAATAAAAACAGGAACTCTGGAGGAAAAGGGGTAATCTACAAAACACTATAATTAACATCCTCAAGGAGATAAAAGATAAAGATATTACATAAAAAAATACATTTTTTAAAAGCTTTTATTTATTCATGAGAGACACACAGAGAGAGGCAGAGACACAGGCAGAGGGAGAAGCAGGCTACATGCAGGGAGCCCGATGTGGGACTCAATCTCAGGATGCTGAGATCATGATGAGAGCCGAAGACAGATGCTCAAACACTGAACCACCCAAGTACCCACCAAAATACATTTTTTTAAAGAAAAGATTCAGAGAAGGAAAAAAAAAAAACCTTAGCAATAAAAAAAATTAAAAATCCAATATGATTCAGAAGACAAAGTTTAAGCAATCTCCCTGAGAACAGAGATTGAAAACAGAAAAGAAAAATAAGAAAATAAAAATTCAAGAGAAGGAGCAAAAAAATGCAGCAAATACTATCAAAGCAATTATTTATTTAAAAAAAACTCCTCAGAACTGCTCAAGCTCCCTGCAGGCTATCAGATCAAATGGATACCTGCCATGAGAGCCAAGAATGATGGGGAAAAGACCCATACCAAATTACATTATCATGAAATTTCGAAACTCAAGGGATAGAGAGAAAATCCTAAAACCTTTCACAATCAAGAATACTAAAAGTGGGGATCCCTGGGTGGCTCAGCAGTTTAGCACCACCTTTCACCCAGGGCGTGATCCTGGAGGCCCGGGATGGAGTCCCGCATCGGGCTCCCTGCATGGAGCCTGCTTCTCCCTCTGCCTGTGCCTCTCTCTCTCTCTCTCTCTCTCATGAATAAATAAATAAAATCTTAAATAAATAAATAAATAATACTAAAAGCTGGAAGACAATAAAAAGCAACAGTATCAAAATTCCAGGTCAAGACCAGAAAAGACAACTAAAAGAGAAAAAAAGTTGAAGATGGATTAGGAATACAGGGGTGGAAGTGGTGGAACAGGAGACTGCCGGGTAATATACGCTCTATAATAGTATTAGACTTTTTAAACCATGTACATGTATTACTGTGATGAAAAATAATCTCAAAAAAAGCATCAAGTCAATTCTAAATGACCTTATTAACGAAATAACTTACCTGAACCACAACTGAAAAGGCCTTTGATTTTATTCTTGCTAAGGATTCTGCCCTTTCACATCTCTGGATAAAAAAGAAACGGGAAGGGGAAAAAGTCAACACACATAAACCTTAAAAGAAATTACAGATTCCCCAGTATTTGTTACCAGAAATGAGATCTGAGACAAAAGGTAGGGTCAAAGAAATTAGCATTTATTGGACACATTGACCAAAGACATACATGCACACTACATTCTCATAGCAGGTTCACAATACCATCCCTATGGCTACTGACTGCTGTTATTCAGGATTTAAGGAGACTATGAATGAAACCCTTGGTGATCGGGCCATTCCTCCCTCATCTGCCTATGTCCTAAGATGGCTCCTTGTCTCATCCACCAAGATGGATGAAAACTCTGGAGGCAGGAAGCACTAACTGTAGCTAGAGCTCCATACTGGTTCAAAGTCAGACAGGAAGGAAAGACATTTAGCAAACACCCTGCTCTGTCTGTGTACGGACTGAGAGCACCTTCCACCATTATGCTTCCCTTTCCCTGTAGAAACACTTAGCATCCTCACTCCCAATCTACACTTGATGTGTCTTTCACAGGGTTTCTAGTAAAAAAAAAAAAAAAAAAAATTCTTCGGAGAACTGATGTTTCAGAACTGTCTCAGATAATTGTTACAAAAGTGACCAAGAGTCATGATACTTGTATATAGAATCACAGCTACATGTAAAATGAAAGAAGCTAACCCAAATACTGCCCTGTAAACAATCATATAGTGAATTTTTCTGACCTCTGATTCTTGCGAATTTCCTTCTCTCTTTTCTTCTCCATCTTTAACTTTTGATTTTAAGGGTGGATTCTAAAAGAACAAAAAAGTTATATATGCACATTTATAATTCAAATTAACTAAAAATCAACTGCAAATCATTTCATAGCAATGAGAATCATTTAGTTTCAATTATTGCAAAACTAAAAGATCATTTCACATTATTACAGCATGGTTCACCACTTGACATTAATATCACGGTTAGGTTTCAGAATAGTTCTAAAATTTATCAATAAAATGCCTAAATCCTAATGAAGGAAAATATGCATTTCATATAGCAGTAATAAAACTGGTTTAAGAGGTGCCTGGGTGGCTCAGTGGTTGAGTATCTGCCTTTGGTTCAGGTTGTGATCCTGGGGTCCTGAGATCGAGTTCCGCATTAGGCTCCTTTAAAGAATTTTATTTATTTATTCATGAGAGACAGAGAGAGAGAGAGAGAGAGAGAGGCAGAGACACAGGCAGAGGGAGAAGCAAGCTCCCTGCAAGAAGCCTGATGCAGGACTCGATCCTGGGGTTTCCAGGATCATGCCCCAGGGTTAAGGCAGTGCTAAACCGCTGAGCCACAGGGGCTGCCCTAATAAATAAAATCTTAAAAAAAAAAAAAAAAACTGTTTTATTCTCCTTTCCTTCAGGTTTTCAGAAGTCTTAGTAATGCTAACTAGAGTTTATTAAAAGAGAGTACTATAAAAAGAAGTACTATAAAAGTACTAAAAGATAATAGAATAGAGTTTTACATGAATAGCCTAGGTCATTTGTGTAACCCATTTATAACAAAATATTCAGACATTCTAAAATGTGCTGTCTCTCATTAAAATAAATATGGGTAGAGCAAGCAAATTATTTCCTTCTTCCCAAGACTGTAATCTCATCACTTTCTTCATCTTTTGTAAAATTAAGTTTTGAGCCAGCTCCCTTTATACAATGAAAAGCCAAAAGCTGGCAGCCAATCTTTCTGAAAGACAATATATAAAATAATAATATGGATCTAGCATTTGTGAAAATACTAACACAATACCAGGCACACAGTAAGTCATCAGAACTTGCTTATATACTATATTTATTTTTTCCTAAAAGGATTTCCTAAAATAAGATGGAGTAGTGGTTTCAAAGTTAAAGTTAGCAAGGCTGGCCCTAAGGTTTCCAGAGTAAGAAAGTTTCCCTACATGAAAAGGTTACTGTGGAATATGAGCAGCTCCAGCATCAGTTTTTGGATCAGAAAACTAAATTGAAGATTTATGTTGATGAGGTTTATAAATGGATAAACCGAGGCAGGTAGAGCATGTCCTACCACAATGGAAGAAGCCACCACTCAGGGCTAGCATATGCTGCCATGCAGAAAAATGGGCCCTGTGTTACCAAACCACTGACTTTTAAAAAATTTTTTTTAGATTTATGTATGTATTTTAGAAAGAGAAAGAGCATGTGAACTGGGGAAATGGGGACAGTGGCAGAAGGAGAGGGAAAGAATTTCAAGCAAACTCTGTGCTGAGCCTAGAGCCCAACAGAAAGCTCAATCTCACAACCCTGAGATCATGCATGACCTGAGCCAAAATCAAGAGTTGGACATTTAACTGACTGAGCTACCCAGGTGCCCCCAAACCACTGAAGAGAAGTTTTAGAGAACAGAAGTTGGATGTCTGAAATTTTAAGTGAAGTCCATAAAAATTTAAATGCTAGTGATTAATTCAACTTTTTAAAACAATGTTAGGGGTGCCTAGGCGGTTCAGTCAGTTAAGTGTCTGTCTTCAGCTCAGGACATGATCTCACAGTCCTGGGATCAATCTCTTCGGGCTCCCAGGTCAGCGGGCAGCCTGCTTCTCCCTCTCCCTCTGCCACTCCCCCCACTTTTGTGTGAGGATGCTCTCTCTCTCAAATAAATAAAATCTTAAAAAATTAAAAATTAAAAAATAAAACAATGCTAGGATCAACATTGTGTCAAATAAACCACACCTGTGTGTAGGATCTGGCCCAAAGACTGCCAGTGTGCAAGCTCTGGAAAACCACAATTACTTATTCCTCTATAGTTACACCAATATTATATATAAATATATAGTGTATATGTGTGTATATATATGTACATATATATAGTGTGTGTGTATATACAGTGTATTACTTAACATGTATTATAGAATTGTTATTAATAATTGTTTCACTATATATACGAAATCTGTTTGTATGGTTAAATAACATCACACAGCTGATAACTGGCAACACCAGAGCTAGGAAAATAAAGCCCTCGAAATCTTAACTCCAGAAGAACGTAGGCACTGAACTAAGCTGCATCTCAACTTTTTGACTTATGTCCAGCCATGAATGTACCAGGTGAATACATGGTGAGGCATCAAACAAGCGGTCACATACCTTTCTATCTTTGTGCCACTGCTGATGCTCCAAAACTATGTTCTTAATATTGTCAAAAAAATCATCCTTTATCAAGCTGAGGGCTTTGTCAGGATTGGATTTATCACCTGAAATTATATGTTTCATGTTCTGATAATGATCATGAACATTCAGCATTTCCTAAAAGTGAAAAGATGAATCTTTTATTTCAATTTTTGAGGAGAAACTTAAAGGCAAAACCAACTCAAAATAAAATGACTAAGTTGATAGGAATAACATGCTACAATATATTGAAAATAATATAATCATGCAACCAAAATAGTACAACTTTATTAATGAAGAAGCTGCTTTCCAGAGATAATGACTCACTGAATTTAATTCAACAAACATTAATATACACTGTATGGAGAGAGATGGGGAAAAGATAGGACATAACAAAACTTACTTACAGTATAACATCATTAAATATCACTAATGACAACCAAGATCGTATTTTTTTAAATTTTATATTATCATTTCGAGGATATTTACACAATTCTTTATTTTCAGCCATAAATTCCTATGTAATGACTCTCACCCAATCCTCCACCGAGATGTGCTGACTTTCACAAATCTCAAAGCCTATGTGCCTGTAAGCTTCATCATTTTTTCACTAGTAAGATCCGGGATTAAAAGAAAGAGAAGGCAATGTGTAACAATATTTGAGGAATCACTTATCACTTAGACGTTTATTCCCCAGAAACCTCCAGCCAAATGGGTAGGTCTATGAGGTAAGGAGAGAGATAACACATTATAGGCAGACTTTGGAAAACAGATAAAACCAGTATTGAGACTTAGCGCAAAGACCAGCAGAGAACTACCGTCACTTCCATCATAGATGATCTCTCCAACATTTGAATCATCCCTAGTTAGGCTACTCCATTCATTTCCAGCAGGTTTTGATGGAATTGATAGATATCTGTTCAAGCAATCATAAACTGCTGGATAGTGGTGAGTGCTCACATATGCATGATATTCAAAGAATAGTGTCTAGACATGGGGAGCCTCTAACTTTTTACGGCTTATAGTGTACTATATCCCATATAGTACATGCAGAAGAATATAGGGAAAAGATCACTACGCTGGACCTGGTTTTGAGCCTGAGTTCTGTCACTTGCCAGACTGTGGCTTTGAGCAAATACCTCAATCTGAGAATCACATTCCACATCTGTACAAAATTAAGCGATGCCATCTAATCCAGTATAAAAGTATCAAGTGAGCTTTTACAAGTGGGAGTGTTCTATAAAATGTAAAGCACTATACAAAGTAAAGGATTAAGAAATAAAACAATGAACTTCAGAGCTTTACAGCCTTGGACAGTCAAATCTAGTCTACACCTTGCAGCGTGCAAATTACTTAACTTCTCTGAATCTGTTTCCTTGTTTTTAAAATTAGGAAAATACTACCTCCTTTACAGGGTTACTATCAGTAAGATAACAACATAAAGCATCTAACATAGTTCCTGAACATGCTGAAACCTCAACATATAACAGCCATCATTATAATTGTATAAAGAAAGACTCAGAAATGAAATGACTGGTTCAAGGTCATATTTAAGTAGCAGAGTTAAAATTAATAGTCAAAAGTTTCTTTTTCCCCATATACTTTTTTTAAAAATTCCATTATAATTAAGTTATATTAATTTCATTTTAAAAAATTCCATTATAGTTAACATACAGTTATATTAGTTTCAGCTGTACAATACAGTGATTCAACAAAAATCAAGTTCTGGTCCTATTCTTTTCATTTTATTATTCCTTTTAACCACAAAGCTAGAAGTGGCAGAATGATGACAAAAATACAGGTCACTGACAGGCAAACTTAATAGCATTTGCAGGCAGTAGAAGGAAAGTAGAGAAGTATTAAATGTAAGGATTAACAGTAAGAATGGGTCAAAGACTATGCTAGGACAGGACAGTCAACTGAGGTATTGAGGGATAAGGCTCTCAAAGCAGATCAGTGGCAAGCCAAAAACCCTAGATAAAGTCAGGATGACTTTATACAGAAGCTCCTAGCTTGGCCCTTCTGACCCTCTTCCTCAATCACCCTAATAGGATATGCCATTGTGCCATTGTGCATCACCTCAGCTCTGTTCTCTAAAATCTTCCATACCTATTTGCTGACATGAACAATTTTTTTTTTTAACAGAGGAACCTTTAATTCAACACCTTCAGAACCTTTAATTCTTAAGATTAAAAGAACTTAAAATCAAAAAGCACGTTTAAGAAGGTGTGTTGGAAAAAGTTAACATTCTACCACCCTATTAGTCCATGACCAAAAATTACAACCAATTGGATTCAAATCCTCCTTTTCATTAGAAGAATAGGAATAAGAATAATGCAACATCTTGCTGTTCTAAAACATCCTCTGCCTCTCCCTTTTTATGGTTAACCTCAGTACTTCCTGGCAAATTCTTTCTGGTATCCCCAAACCTTCTGTTCTTCCTAATAACTATTGCAAACTCTCTATTCTCAATTCCTTGAACTCCCAATGGCCCTCTCTTAAAGTTCAGACTATTAGATCTGTTTGCCTTCTACTTCTCTTCTTCACAACAAATCATATGAATCCAGTTTCACCTTCTTTCCTCAAGTTTGAAAAGAATCAGGCTTCTCCTGGTCAATGCTAATCTTTCCCCTGGGCTTCCATCCCAGACCTGCCCACCTCCTCTAAAGCAAGAACCCTTCTCCTCCTTCTTCCAAACAACCTCTCCTGACTCCTTACCCTAAACCTAAATAAAAATTTGAAGTTTAACAAATAATTAAAAATTGTTTAAAACACCTATTTGGCAGGGATATTATAAGGATTAAAAGAATCTACACAAAACATCTTATTAAGCTCCTGTAAAATAGCTTCCTTCTAATGCAGTAATTCTTATCTTTTGGGGCAGGGGGCATGAACACCTTTGAGAATCTGAAGACAGTTATGATATCTCAACGTAACCAAGTGTCCATATGTATGACAGTTTATTATACAACGTAGGGGAAAAAGGGATACATGGACCATCTGAAGGTCATCCATGGATTCCAAATTAACAATTCTTGCTTTAAAATAGTTATTTTACAAAACACACCCAGAGTACTTTCAAAAATCAATTTGCTGGGGCACCTCAGTGGCTCAGTTGGTTAAACGTCTGACTCTTGACTTCAGTTCAAGTCATGATCTCATGGGTCCTGAGACTGAGCCCCTTATCCTGCTCCACATTCAGCAGGGAGTCTGCTTGAGATTCTTTCTCCCTCTGCCCCTTCCCCAGCTCTCACACATACACTCATTCCCTCTCTCTCTCTCAAGTTTTTTTTAAAAATTGATTTACTACCTTAATTACAAATCATACGTGATATCTGACAGGCTGAAGCTATCAGAATATGGTAGCATCTACAACACAGAAAAACATTTGAGCAAATCAAAGATCTGATCCCTCTTTTACTCCTGATATAGGAAGATTGAATAGTTGAGGGGAAAAAAAGGAGTAACACTTATCAGGAGTCTACTATGTGCCACATGCCATCCTCAGCATTACTCAGGCATAATTCAGTTTCAATTTTCATAATTGGATGAAATGAAGATGGTAATCCTAATATTAAAGACAGGGAAACTAAGGCTCAAAGAGATTAAAAAATCTGACCAAGGCTCCCATCTGGTTAGACTCACTCTCTCATGAGAACTCTCTCTCTTTATATATATGAATGAATCCATTCTTTTGAAATGTTAATATATCATGGATTACTAAGGCTGTAGTCCTATAGTGGGTTTGGTTTTTCAGGGCAGTGCTTTTCTATGCATGTAAAATTCTGTGAGTCTTACTACTGATCCATGTGAAAGATTTTTTTTCTCAATACTAAACAACTGGAATAAAATACCAAAATACATTAGTTGGTAAAGCTACTTTATGACTGTGCCTCTTATCCATAATTCTTGACTTTAAATTTTTATCAGAATAGCATCATTGGGGGATCCCCGGGTGGCTCAGCGGTTTAGCGCCTGCCTTTGGCCCAGGGCGCGATTCTGGGGTCCCGGAATCGAGTCCCATGTCGGGCTCCTGGCATGGAGCCTGCTTCTCCCTCTGCCTGTGTCTCTGCCTCTCTCTCTATCATGAACAAATACATTTTTTAAAATCTTAAAAAAAAAAAAAAAAAAAAAAAGAATAGCAACATTGGGGCAGCCCGGGTGGTTTAGTGCTGCCTTTAGCCCAGGGCCTGATCCTGGAGACTCAGGATGGAGTCCCACGTCAGGCTCCCTGCATGGAGCCTGCTTCTCCCTCTGCCTATGTCTCTGCCTTTCTCTCTCTCTCTCTCTGTGTCTCTCATGAATAAATAAAATCTTAAAAAAAAAAAAAAAAAGAATAGCCTCATTGCTCTCAATGGGTTTTTAAATAGACATTATAAAAAGGAATAGGAAATGAATACATAATGTTAAAAAATAAAAACAAAGTCCCTTTAATTCTTGTTTTACGGCCTATCTAAAGTCAAATACAAATGGTGGTTTCAGTACTTGAATCTAAATATCCTAAGTCCAATTAGTCTTCTACATCTTTTTGCTTCTGAGGTTCAAGATTCATTCCATAAATTTTCATATATTTAGGGTGTATTATTTCTGATACTTTGGAATAACAATAAGCATTCTCTGATTGGTTACATTCATTGGAAAAAATTCCAGTATCCCACAGATGAAGGTACAACTTCAATATATAGTTAAAAATAAAACAATTTTTTTCTAATATTTGAAGGGCAAAAAAAACAAATTTACCTCTAATACATCAGAAGTGATAAGTTTCATTACACGATCATTTGGGTCCTTAAATTCTTCTGTAACTTCAGCTCGTTGAATTTTCTTCTTCATCCTATATGATAGCTATATGATAATGAATATTTCTTAGATAACTATTTTTCAGAAACTATTAGACTTTTAAAACAACTTTTAAGAGGATCCCTGGATGGCTCAGTGGTTTGGTGTCTGCTCTCAGCCCAGGGCATGATCCTGGGGTCCCAGGATCACGTCCCACATTAGGCTTCCTGCATGGAGCCTGCTTCTTCCTCTGCCTATGTCTCTGTCTCTCATGAGTAAATAAATAAAATCTTAAAAAATAAATAAATAAAACAACTTTTAAGATGCCATGCCATGTACTTATAAATTCATATGATCTTCAGACAAGTTACATGATTTGCCAGCTGATGTCAGAAGCAGACTTAGGACTTAGTGCTCTTTCAATCTAGTGTCTCAACTGTCATGATTGAAGAAATATATTTTATTAGTGGAAGTTTCTACTTTTCACCAACTATTATTAAAATTCCTTGGTCCTCTTTCAGTAACCTGTTCTCTGAATAAAGAAATAAGCAAATGGCAGATGCCAAAACTCATTTCCTTTTCTAACAATTTAATAGACAGCATTTAAAAACTCACTGCATTGAAAAGGAGACTGAATTTTTGTTTTCAAAAAAAAAAAAAAGTAATCAGAAAGCATTTTCTCCTATTTTTAAGAAACTTTCTACAAGTATTGGAAATTACATAATATCTTTTCCAATATATGGAGACTGAGGTACTTTATGAACAATGAAGCATAATCTCTCATTTTGAAAAACAATCTATTTTAGATAACATACCAATTTGGGCATTGCCGTAAAATGAAATGCTTTGTCTAGTCGTAATTTCCTAAAAATATAAGCTGCATCAAAATGTTGTGCATTTATCAAATCTTGCTGAAATTTTAAAACTTCATCCCAATCCTTTAGGGCAACTCTAATCTACAACAAGAGTAAAAGCATTGTTATTAAAGGTAAATCTTTTTTCACAAATATATTATAATTTTGAAACACTGGCATTCCTATTAATATCAGTTTGTTATAAAAATACTTTACCAATTTCCTATTTTGCTGAGGGAAAACAAGTATTACCTTTTGTTTTGGTTGACACAGTTGGGTGTTATATAATCCATATAGCAGATACAAAGCACCAACTCTGATCTGGAAGGTGTATGGAGGTAAAAAATATTGCCAAGCCAAAGCTAATGCTTCTTTTGTAAACATGTTCTTTTCTAAATTTCTCATTCTACCACTAGAAAACAAAGAGAAAATATATTATGACTCTTAAGTAAATACGTAATGAACAAAATTTAAAAGAGGTATATTCTAGCAGCTGCTAGACACTGAAGGGGTGGGTATCCTACATCTGATCCTTTCATGATCAAGCACAAAGACCTAATTTTCTGCTGTGCTTATTATCCTGAGGCACAGGCATACACTAGGTAAACAAGATGCATATTCCTAAAGCATCAATTTTACTTGCTGAATTGGGGAGCAAAAGGGGAGGGGTCACAAATTATTCCTGGTTAAGAATTTTAAGCCTTTAAAATATTAAAATCATGGTTATAATACAGAATAAAATACAAAAATTACATGCATTTTAAAATATAACAGAGATTTTCCCCAATGCTCTCAGGGATTCACACTACACCTCATTTGTCCTTGAGACACCTAGATGAAAAAGTTAGAAAACCACAATACAAAGTAACCCATGCCTTCCTCCCAATTCCACTGGGTAAAGCTCACCAAAGTAAAGAGAGAACAGGGTAGGAAAGCAGACTCCCCTATACTCCCAAAGCCTGGGCTATTCAAATAATAAATATACTAAAAAAATGCAGAATACTTACTGTAGTTTTAGCAACCTAAGCAATTTCTAAATAAATAACATCACTATTCCCAAGTAGTCCCTACCTTTTTCTCATTTCTAGTTTTTCCCATTAGCTAAATATTAAGGTAACTCCAGCAAAATTTTCCTTAACTCCCACTTTTCAAGGGAGATGCACTTAAAGACCATGGGTTTTGGATAGCAGCAGACATAACAGGTTTCATTATCTGCTCTACCACCTACTAGGTTTATGATCATGGACTTAACCTCCTTAAGCCTCAATTTCCCCATCTATAAAACAAGGATAATTATATACTTGCTTTTCAGAGTTGTTCTATGAATTAAATACATTAAGCTATAAACACGTTACATTTAGTAGCCATTAAAAAATTAGTTCCTTTCCAGGGCACTTGGGTGGCTCAGTCAGTCGGTGAAGGGTCTGCCTTTGGCTCAGGTCATGATCCTGGGGTCCTGAGACAGGGCCCCACATCGGGCTCCCCGTTCATCAGCAAGCCTCTTCTCCCTGTCCCCAGCTCATGCTCTCCTTCTTTCATAAAAAAGTAAACTCTTAAAAAAAATTAGTTCCTTTCCTTTCATTGACTATACAACAAATAGCTCTCTATCCTCCAAATCATGCAATGGACAAACTACATAAGTAATTATTACATTGAGGGAAAAAAAAGAAAACTTTTAATTTTTATCCAGGAAAACAGTTTTAATCACAAGGACTCATTCAGCCAATTATTTAGCTTTTCCAATATCATATATATTATGCTAAAGGATACTAAATTCATCCAGTCATTGTCCTCACAGAGCTCTATCTAGTGAAGGGAAAATTTTAAAGCAGTAATAATAATGATGAGTATTTATGGAGCATTTAGAGTGCCCTCAACATATTTTATCTCATTTAATCCTCAGAACTATGATATGAAGTATTATCACTATCTCCATTCTACAGATATAGAAGCTCAGGCAAGTAACTTGACCAAAGAAGTTACTCTGTGGGGTCTGACTAAAAATCAGGGGCAGCCCAGGTGGCTCAGCGGTTTAGCGCCGCCTTCAGCCCAGGGCGTGACCCTGGAGACCCGGGATCGAGTCCCACATTGGGCTCCCTGCATGGAGCCTGCCTCTCTGTGTCTCTCATGAATAAATAAAATCTAAAAAAAAAAAAAAAAAAAAAAATCAGTGGGGCTCAGTGATCTGAACTTAACCACTATACTACACACACAACAACCTGCTCTAGGAAAAACGGAGTATGAACGCCTTACTTACCTTACCCTAGAAGGGCAAAGGAAGGCTTCCCTAAAGAACTGTCACTTGAGCTTAAATCTGAGTGAAGAAAAAGGTGGACTGGCAGGAGCTGGGGGAAAGTTCCAGGCTTTGGAAACGCCAAAAAGGGCCACAGGCAGAATGGAGCAAGTGAGTGCATGGAGGCGAGAGGCAGATAAAGCTGCAGAGACGAACCGAGGCCCGTCAGGCGTATTAGGGAATCTGAGCTTTCTTTACCCTAAGGGCAATGGAAATCACCCGAGTGGTAAGTACGGGGAGTGACTGGATGTCATTTGCACCTTAGAAAGACAACTTTCGTTATTCTGTGAGAAATGAATTCAGTCGTGCTGGGATTTGTTCTTACTTAGGTGTTTGTTTTTAAACATGGGGTTCTAGGGAACAACAGTGGAAGAGGGCAAATGATGAGGGGCTTAGGCCACGGTGAGGCAGGAGATGAAGGGAAGGGTTTAGAAAGGCGGCCACGCAGAAGTACCAACTCGTCAAGAAGCCGCAAAACGATGCAGTCGAAACCAATCCAAGTGCCCAGGAATGAGGCCCAGGGGGCTGGCGGCAGCATTCGGACACTGCCGCCTTTCTCTGCCCTTCCCAGATCCAGCGATGCCTCGGAGAACAAAGTGGCGTCCTACGCCGCCTCCGACCTGGGAGAGAGGCGGGCGGCGGACTAGAAACACGCACCAGAAGATGGTCCCGAACTTCTTACTCCTCCAGAGCTCCGTGAAGTCCTCGAATCGCACGCTATCCGTCTCCTGGAAGCGGCTGAGCAGCGCCTCGCAGTCCGTTTGCAGGCCGGGAGACGTCCCCATGCCTGCGAGGCCCGCAAGCCGAAAGCGAACTAACCCGCGGCTGTCGCCGAGGAAACCGCAACCGGACGTCCCGCCCCCTACAACAGGACGCACTTACGCTCCGTGACGTATTATCCGGCCTCGTTAGCCCCGCCTCCACCCGGCCGCGTGCGAAACGTAGTTTTGCTTACTGCGCATGCGTGGGGGCCTGTTTTCCGCCCCCCCCCTTTTTTTTTTTGCTTACTCTGCTCTCCTTAACAGAGAGACCTAAGGTCACTCCTTTAAACTTCATTGAAGAGGTTTTGATCTCAAGTGTCTTGTGAGCCCAAGAAGGATTTTAGGTCTGCATTAGGCTAGCTTGTGCACATTGGCTTTACTCTCACTATCCCTTTCCTTTAAGGTGACCCCACTATGACAGAAGTCAGCTTTTACCTCTTAGCTTCTCCCTGGAGCTAGATAGGGAGTGGTAGTTTGTACTTTGCACCATTTTCAGATTGCAGGGTATGCTATTTTTATTCTGTAGGAGTGGTATCCCAATATAATAGAAAGCATTAGATGATCTGGCTGTAGATCTGCTCAACTTTCCTGATTGTTGATCTATTTTTAAAATTTTATGTAATATTTTTATGTAAGCAGAAAACTTTATGTAACCTATCTGAGATAAGAAGCATAGCCATGAAGTGAGTATTTGTGTCCCTTCTACCTGTGTGGGACAGGAGCATTATCAACTCTGTCACACTAATCTGTGAACTCCTCTAAACTAGTCCCCCTGCCTCTACCGCTACCTTAGGAACAACTACCTTGTTTTGTTTCTCATTCTCTTGTATGTATTTTTATGACATGTGTATGGATCTCTAAACAATAGATTGTTTAGTTGTGGTTGGTTTTGAGTCTTATGAAAATAGTATTGCAATTTTTTTTAAGTTCTATGCCCAACTTAGGGTTTGAACCCATGGCCCAGAGATCAAGACTAGCATGCTTTCCAACCGAGCCAGCCAGGCACCACCACTCCCTTTTTTAACTTTACCTTTTTTTTTTTTTTTTCGATTTCTAATATATGGTCTCTGAATTACTCTTTTTTTTTAAATTACTTTTTACATTAAATAATGTTTCTAAGATTTATTCATGTTACTACTCATAGCTGTAGTTCATTCATTTTCACTGCTGCCTGATGTTCTGTTGTGTGAATACGTAGTTTATCGATTATTTCCTCCATGCAAATTTAGGTGAGCCCTAGATTTTATTATGAACAGTGCTACTATAAACACCTTTGTACATGGCTCCTCTTATTTGTAGGATAGCCAGAGAAAGTAGATGAAGCCAAATTAAAATTGAATTTTAGACAAAATTTAAAAATTACTCATTGTTTATCTTAAACACAAACTTTAAAAGATAACATGAAATTGTTTTTCAGGCGTGGTTGAACTGATTTTCACTTCACTATCAGTGTGTGACAGTTCCAAATTCAGCCATATGATCTCAGAAACTTGGTATAAAATTGTGGTCTTAACAGGAAGTTCTCTAATTATTAATGTGGTTGTGCATCTTCTTAAATTCTAATTTTTTCCTACTCCCTCTACTATGAAATGCTGTTCATATATTTTGTCCATGTTTCAATGGGGTTGTTTGCCTTTTTCATATTGATTAATAGGATCACCTTATATATTCTGAAACAAAACTGGTGTACATGTGTTATAAATATCATTCCCCACTCTAACTTGTTTTTGTTTACTAACCTTATGGTGATTTTTGATGTGCAAAGATTCTTTTTAGTGTAATCAATTTTTAAATCTTTCCCAATAAGGACTTTTGTCTATAAAAATGTTCCCTATATTTCATTATTAGTTAAGTAATACTGGTAATGTGACTTAATCAACTTAAATGCTTAGTAGCTTAACACAAATGAAAATTATTTTTATTCACATTAAGTTCAATTCATGGCAGGATGAGGTGGGAAGGGTTCTGCTCCAAGAAGTCATCCAGGGACCCAGACTGATGAAGCCTCTACTGTCTTCAACCATTGGTTTTCAAAGCTACCCTGACTACAGACATCTAGTCTGTAGACAGGGCAAGAAAGAATGTGAAAGATTGCATGAGAGATTTTTATGAGCCATGCCTAGAAGTGATGTGAACTCAAGTGATGCTAATTTCTGCTGGTCCACAAACTATTACCTCTCTCTCACTCAGTAGTACAGAAATTAAGAATAAGTATTTATAATTTTTAATAGCAATCTGACAAAGTAATTTTATGTGTATCATATCTAATAAAAAACTGGCTTGCATTTGGTCTGACTTTTTAAATATCAGTTTTCTGGCAGTTTATCTCTATTTTCATTTACAAAAGTATTGGTCTATAGTAAATTGGAGAGAAACTGTCCATTACCACAGACGGTTTGAGAAGCACTGGTGTACACCATTTCAGTCCACAAACTGTTGGCCAAAAGTCACTCACATAATCCTACCCCAAGGCCAAGAGACCTGGGAAACATTGTCCCTAACTGGGCAACCTCTTCCTCACAAAAAATCTAGTCTATGGAAGAGGTGTATAATCTTTGTTGAACTGCCAACATTGCTGCTACAATTTTATTCCAAAAGTCTTAAAGTATTGCCTTTCACCTTTAATTCACTATATCCATCTAAAAATGATTTCTAGGGGCGCCTGGGTGGCTCAGTGGTTGAGTGTCTGCCTTTGGCTCAGGTTGTGATCCTGGGGTCCTGGGATAGAGTACCGCATCGGGCTCCCGATTGGAGCTGCTTTTCCCTCTGCCTGTGTATCTGCCTCTCTGTGTGTCTCTCATGAATAAATGAATAAAATCTTTTAAAAAACTAAAAAATAAAAATGACTTCTGTATATGGTATGAGTTAAGGATCCAGTTTCACTTTTTTGCTTACGTATAACCATATATATGTATGTATGTGTATTTTCCATATGTGTAATTTCCCAGCACCTCTGATTGAACAGTCCATCCTTTCCCTAATGATCTAAAGTTACTTCTAAAAAAATAAATAAAAATAAAGTTACTTCTGTCATACATCAAATGTGCAAGACTAATTGAAGCCAGAACACAATTGTATGGCTCTGTACCTGTTGTTAAGATATTTACATTACTGTTAGTGTATATGATATAGGAGTCAGTTTCTCCCAGGAGGTGCAGCCTCTTAAGTAGCTACTCAGAGGGTACAGCTCCAGCTATGCACACAGTTGCCTGGGATGATAGTTGTTTTAGCAAGGCTTTCCTTGGCTCTCTCCTTTCCAGATCTCTAAGAGCCTGGCTCTGTTGGTATCACATCCAGCCATTAGGCTCCAGTAATTGCCTACTGATTGCTCCATTGCTTTTGACAGTGTCCTGGGGGCATGAATTGCTCCACAGTCTAATCCAATTACCTTTAGTCTCCTTTGCAAAGGTAGTCTTCAAGATTTGTTCTGATCTCAAGAGGGCTTCTCTTAAGTGTCTCTTCCCCAGGCTTTCCCTAGTAAATTAGTTGGTCTGCAGTTTAACTTGTTGCTGCCATGGAGCTACCAGCTTCCTCTTAATTACTACCATAATATCCATTGTTTCCAAGAGCACCTTTGGGTTTGAATCTTCTCAGACTCTTCCAAATAAATTCCATTCCACTGGTAGAGCTTCTGAATTCTCTGTTCTAATGGACTTTCTCTCCTCCTGGATAAAATCTCTGAGCCACTGCTATGGAGCTGGCGATAGGGACAGTGGCCCACTTCTCTCAGAATGATACCTCTGCTTTGGGAGCAGAGTTCTGGGAGGAAGTAATGGTCTGTTCTTTTCAGGATGTCTCTGCTGGCATGGAACTCCCAGCTTACATGTGAGCTGGGGTGAAAGTAATTGGGGTCCCAGTACTCATGGCCTGTCCTATGAATAGTGTCTGAAAGGAAGAAATGAGTTCCCAGTCTCCAATCTCCTGACTGTGCTTGTCCATTTGCCTGGAATTTAGCCTTTGCAACACGAACTTAAAGAAAATGAGAAATCCTGGCAGCCTGGTCCTTCCACAGAGATACCATAGCTCTTCACTGGGATCTAGAATATGGGGCCCTTTGTAGCCACACCCACCTGGAGTTGAGCTTTTGTCATACTGAGCAGCGAAGGGGAGGCTGCTGGTCACGGTTCAAGTGTCACTGACTCTTGATGTTCTTACCAAGATTTTGTATATTTTCTTACTAAAATTTTCTTCATCTGCTGTATTCTCTTCAATTTCAAGAAACTTTAAATGGTATTTTTAAAAAAATTCTTTGGGATCCCTGGGTGGCTCAGCTGCTTAGCGCCTGCCTTAGGCCCAGGGTGTGATCTTGGAGTCCCAGGATCCAGTCCCACATCAAGGTCCTTGCCATGGGGCCTGCTTCTCCCTCCGCCTCTCTCTCTCTCTCTCTGTCTCTCATGAATGAATGAATGAAATCTTTAAAAAATAAAAAATAAATTCTTACCAGTTGTAGTTGTTTCACTTGGGAGCAAGTCCATGGAGCTCCTCATACTGTCATTTCCCTCGAGATGAATTTAAAGGCATAACGCTCCCATCCAATGACTGAGCAGAGTAGGGGAGTAAAGGCCCCAGCCCTCTCTCTAACTTGGAACAACTCTCAAGGACTATCCTAGGTCTAGAGCTCCACATAAGGTTGCTGAAGATCTTTGCTGGGACTGCATCTCAGCTCAGTTTCTCCCTCTGCCTACTTCTGCTTTTTTGCTGTTTTCTCATGCTGTCCCTTAAACCACTCCCTAATACATGACTTGCTGTCTCTATCTCAGAGTCTACTTCCCAGGGAACCCAATAGCAGAGTCTTGGGCATCATTACACCATTCTCTTTATTTTTGTACATGTTCAAAGTTTCCATAGTGAAAATTTAAGAAAAGAAAAGAACTGAGTCAGACTGGATGTAGTGGATAAGATTATAAGTGACAAGCCATCTCTAAGGACTGGTTTGGGAGACTGTGTGGTGCCATTCATTGAACAGGGAATGCAGGAGGAGGAGACATTTGGAGAGCATATGATGAACCGTTTGGAGCACACTCAGTTTTACAGAAGCCAAATTTGAGGTTCCTGTGGGAAGCAGTATAGTCTG